CAAATAAAATTGATTCTAACCACAGATAAAGAGTTATGAAATGTCAACATTTAATTTTACAAGTTGAAATTCTAACTCCTTCTAAACGCTTTCTAAACACACACATGCAGACAGACAAACATACGTAGGAGTTCTGAAGGAGAGTGATATTGGACTCAAAACATTAACTCTGCATCTGACTCCACTTATGCCACAAGATGTACTGAGTTTCCTCAAGTATTCTCAGGCTTCTGAAAAGTCATCTTCCTTTCAGCCTGTCTGGATAGAGCATCAAGACATTGCGAGCATCCTGACCCACAACAGACCAACACAAGCAATCCCCAATTCTTACAAGACCATGAAGTTAACCACAGAGCTCAGTACCTGCTCTGCATTCCAACACCATTACCAGACTAGCTTTCATTTTCGGCTATATTAATTGCATTTAAGCTTCATCAGTTGACTGGATTTGAACCTATGACCCCAGAGCATTAGCCTGGGAGTCTACAATGACTTGTCCACTGACATTAAACACAATGCCATCATCTCCCCTGAGAATATGAATGCACTTACAATATTACAAGCCCCATTCACTCCCCACTTTACTGGACAAGTAGTAAGTGTGTGTTTTAAACAATTAAAGCCCATCTCACCATTTATTTCACTATTCGTGTTTCTCAGTGAAACAGCTGCCCACTTGTGTGATCAATCAACCTCAAGTCAACACCAACCATTTTCATTTATTTTTAAACTGCACTACTCAGGGTGGAGCTGGACCATACAGAGCTGCCTCAGTCTATGACAACCTCAGTCTTGGCAGGTGATTGGAGACCTAGCTATTCCCCACAGCTAGACACTCTATCCTCACAGACACTGGGTGAAGAGTGTCTTTCATTTCTCCAGGATCATATTCCATGCAGAAGCAGGGATCTCATGTAGTAACCAGGACCAGGAATCCTGATGGGTGTTATAAGCCCAGAGGCTTTATAGGCTCCAGTAAAGACCACAGAGATCGGGTTGTTCCAATAGCAAATCACTTAGCTGCTGCAATCAGCAGTACTTTTTCAACTAAATAGTGAAAGGTAAGATCTTTATGTCAAATTAAAATATCAATGTGTAAAATCAATTTTGTTTATTCTTAATATATCCAGTTGAATGAAACCAGAAGTTATTCTTATTTAACAAATTTTTCTTAAGATATGTGCAGCTTTATAAATATACTGACTAGATTAATGTTCGCATTAGTAACAAATCTTACCCATTGCTCATTCATTGGAAAAATGTTGATGTTGCGGATCATGTTAGCATTATGCTTAGCCAATCAAATCCTCCCTGATGAGTGCAGTCAATTTCTTCCATTGAGTAACCTCCAATCCTAAATGTTCACTAATTAATCATTCGAAATTTTTGTTACTGATTACAGTTATTTACCTGAAGCAGTCATTCATTCAGCAACCAAAGTAAAGAACTAACTTCCACAATTCTGTTATAATAAAACAAAGAAATGTAATTGCTGGAAATTTGAAACATAAACAGAAATTGCTGGAGGAACTCAGTGAGTCTGGCAGCATCTGGAGAAAGAGAAACAAAGGGAATGTTTCTAGTCCACTGATCCTTCTTCAGAGACTTCTGTTGTGCTGTGGAAAGGTTTCTAAAATGGAAACTGATCCATTTGTTGTCATGTTTTGGCACATCCCCGAAATAATAAAAGCTGCCAATATAAATTGATTGGACTAAACATACAAAGGTATGTCTTGAATGTACTCAATAACTGAGTTTATATGGTGAATGCATACATGTTACAATAATATTCACTGAACCGGACTTCAGTGTTACTCTCATTTCACTGGGGTTGCTATTGGTAGCAGCTCCACATTCAATGGCCAAGAAATGATTTAGTCAGTTTCATCAAGACTGTCCCATTAAATGATGCAACACAGCTAGACATCTCTAAGTTTGACCACTATCTTCTTCCCCAATCTCAACTTCCACACATAGCCTCAGCCCTGTAACAGTGGGGAGAGACAAAACAGAATGCAGGGGTGACAAGGGGAAGGAATTCTTCTTCAAATCAGGGAATCCAAACTCAAACTAAAGATTGCACAGAACAACGAGTTATCTAGTTAAGGAGAGTTAACATCTATATATGCACTTAACATCAGTGGGTGCATGGGAATGCAACCATGTATATGTTCCTCTTCAAGTTACACACCATCCTGATTTGAAACTGCATCACCATTCCTTCACTGACATCCGGTCAAAATCATTGAGTCACACAGCTTGGAAACAGACCCTTCGGTCCAACAAGTCTATGCCGACCTTAATTCCAAACTAATGTAGTTGGCCCTCACTTGGCCCATATCCCTCCAAACCTTTCTTAATCATGTACTTATCCAGATGTCTTTCAAATGTTGTAACTGTACCTGCATCCTTTCTCTTCATTACACACATGAACCACCCACAGTGTAAAAATGTTGTCCCTCACGTCCTTTTTAAATCTTTCTGCCGTCACCTTAAAATATGCCCGTAGGATTCCCAAACCTCTAGAATTCCCTCTCTAAAATTATTGTGGGTGCCCCTGCACCTCAAGAACTGCAGCAGCTTAAGAAGGCAACTTGCCACCACTTTTTCAAAGGCAATTAACAATGAGCAATAAATGTTGTCACAGACAGTGACACTCACATCTTGTGAATCAATAATTATATTTTTAAATTGTGTGAATATAAATAGTGACAATAACTTAGCTGATAGTTCTGATGGTAGCATAAAACAACAAAACAAGTGGTTGTGATCTGTACTTCCATTTCCAGTTTCACCTCTTGTTGGTGTAGGTGCCTGTCATTGGAGGCTGTCACAGTGTTTGACAGTCCAGCCTGTCCCTCTGAGCAAATCAAACCTTATTTTGTGTTATTGCTGTGTGGATCGTCTGTAACTGCTGGAGAATGCATGGCTTCCAGCAGCAAAACTGTAGTTATGAGTGAAGTTTTAAGATAACCTATGCAGTTGCTATAAAACAATTGTAGCACAGAACAGAAAGGAGTGGGCCGATAGCTTTAAGTGGGGGAGCAAGCCAGGAAGTTTCTCTCCTATAAAAATCATGCAGCATAACACATCAAACTGTAATAACAGGAGTGACTCCAATTAAATACTGCAGAATGGTTTTGGATTATCATCTGCTATGGAGCTAATAGGAATATTCTTTTAAATGCTATAGACTCTGCCAATGATCTAACATCAATGTAATGCTGCATGAGTTATTAAACAAAGTGACCTTTCAATTATTTTCGTTTTTTTTGTACTTATGTTAGCTTTTCCACAGAGACCGTTTGTGAAAATACTGTAACAACCTTCAGTGTCAAGTAAAAGGCTGGCTTTGACTCAGAAAATGAGTTTCTTTTCAAATTAACATTTCTTTGCACCCCATTATTGTTCTTGCCATGTCCAGCTCTTCTTAGAAATTAAAGTGTCACTCAGCACACACTAATTGTAAGGAAGATTGGATATGACCTGGGGAGAGGAGTTTCATTGGGCTCTATAAAATTATGGGAGGCTTGGCTAGGGTAGATAGGAAGGTCTTACCTCCCCTTAGCAGGTCAATAACCAGGGGCACAGATTTAAAGTATTTGATGGAAGGTTAGAAGGGAGTTTAGGAGAGTCTTACTCCATCCAAAGGGTGAGCGAGGTTCTAAAACTCACTGCCTGAAATGTCAATAGAGGCAGAAATTACAAACACATTAGAAAACACTTGGATACGTCCTTGAGATGCAATTACCTACCAAGTACAGACCAATGGTGTGATTAAACTGCTCTTTTGCTCCTGGCACAGAGAGGAACCAGTCAGCTTTGGAAAGTAAGGCAGGCGTTCCCATGGAGCATGAGTTATATTCAAAGTCTGCTGTTTCAATGCTCAGGGTGTGGGTACCAGAAATATTGATACCTCTGCAAGGCTTGCTCAAAAACATGTACATTCATGTGTGCACAATGATACACATGATTATGCAAAGAATGGAGGGATACGGACCAAGGGGAGACAGAAGGGATTAGTTTAATGTGGCGTCATGTTCGGCGCAATGTTGTGGGTCAAAAGATCCACTTGCTATTGACTTCTATGTTCTATGATACAATCACTCTCACACACACACACCTTTACAAACGCGCACACACGCACAAACACACATAAAATCACAAATACACACACTATATACAATAACACTGTCTCACACAAACACACAGGTATAAACTCAACCTGACACACACACACAATCCCTCAATCACAGAATTCTCTCTCTCTCTCTCACACACACAGACACACACAGATACACACACACACACAGATGCATACACACGCAGTCACAAACACACCCCTTTTAGTGTTGTGGAGAGTTAACCAGCAGAAGCATGGATTACTTTACAGCTAAATAATTACATAACCAGCAATTGAAGTAAGTCATTTAGTGCAAAAGTATTTTCTTGCTAGAATTCTACGAATATATTAGTTCTTTGGCTGTAAATTTCTAAGAATGATACAGCAATGTATTTCCAAAATAATTGAGCCTTTCAGCATCAGAATGTAATTGTTTTCCTTTGCTTTTGCATATTACATTTTGCCAATGAAAGATAAGAAATCACAAGGTGTGTTACAAAAGGCGGCTGCTGTTTGAGACTATGCTTTGATCAATACACTGCTGAATTCTGGTTCTGCTGGGAACAGCAAAGGCTACTCAGTGGGGTGGAGGTGCCTGATCCAAAAAATGGTTTACAATTTGTAGGGTTATTTCATCTTTTATTATCACAGATCATGAAAGAAAGCAGATTATATTTTGTTTTCTGGGGGTGGAGGGTGGGGAAGTAGATAGAGGTGGGAGAGAATGCCATTGCTTACGACTTCAAACACAGAGAGGTCAATCCATCACTGTCTGTCTGTCTGTGTGTGTGTGTGTTTGTGTGTTTGTGGCGGGGGGAGGTTCTATTCACATAAACCTCTTCACTGTAAGCTCCCACTGAATTCACTTGCAAATTCCTCAGCCTGAAAAGAGACAGGATTCCCAGTGCCCCGCCGTCCGTGCAGAGCAAAGCCCACAGTCCTATCAACCCTCCCTCTGCTTCAGGAGATGCTATTATCAATAATGAGAGCCTGAGAACCGAGTGGTCACCAATCAGCAAGCTGACAGGTAAGAAAGATCCTTCCAGCCCACCCTCTGGGGCTGCGGGTCCCTGCCTCCAGAACGAGCGTTGAAGTAGATGGAAGAAGTCAGTCTTGGGGAAAAAGAAATCTGGGCATCGCAAAACCAGTCGCCAGGCAGAGACAGTAACAGCGTGTTCCCTATCGGCGATGCAGGCAGCACTGTCTCTCACAGACACACAGCGTCTGTCAGCGGTAAGTGCTCTCCCCTTCTGGTCCTGATGGAGCTTTTGGCTTTACAGCGGTGCACTTTGTTGGGAGGTTTATCATGAAACGGGAAGCAATCTTATTCCAATATGCCCCCAACCCAACCTTCGCCCCCCCCCCCCCCCCCGCCCCCCACGCAGGTACAGCCTTTGTGTTTACCGTCGCTCTAATAAAACGCGTACTGTACTAAATTTGAATTGAGGAGAAATGCAGCGTTGAGATGGTGAGGGTGGAATTCAGAAAGGCTTGTTGGTACCTATTTGCGCAAAGTGTTGTTGCCTTTTGTGAGGTCGAGTTGCAATGTGTGTGTGTGTGTGTGTTGGAGCTAACTTTAATAGTTCGTGTTAATTGCAATACGTCGTACCAGCCTTACCGTGGCTGAGTTTAAACATCCCAAACAGACTGTGAATTGCTAGGGTTTACTGTTTCAACCGCGTCCCCACTGGAAGCCGGACCGACAAGTCTTTCGGATAGACAGGGTAGGTGGGGGTGGGGTAGTGCTATTAGTCTGGCAATGTGGGTACACACTCAGCCTTACAGGGCTGGGCTGGAGTCTGGTAGCTATACCCAAGGTCAAGCGAGGATGTGGAAAACAGCAACATGCGCCAGACACAAAGTGAGGAGCTTCCAAGATTCCCGAGCCCGGCAGAAAGCAGATCAGAGAGGGAGAGCTGCTGGCAACAAAAAAAAAACCAAAGGCCTCTCTGTATTCGCTGGGTGACTTTCCCCAGTTCGGTATTTAGCATTTTGGGCGATGTGACGTTGACCTTCAGATGCTAGCCACATATAAATCTGAGAGGTGTGTGTGTGTGTGTGTAACGGATTACCGCTCACTAAGATTCCGCTATGAACCTAGGTGTCGGACAACTCGAAGCCCCAAAGTCTGTCAATGCTGTGGGGTTATATATTTCAGCCGAGCAGAGAGGGTAATATTCCACACCACCCCCACCCAGCCCACATTACACAGCCCAGCCCTGCACCCTGAGCCAGCTGCTGTTGTCTCACACAGCCCCTTGTGATTTCAGTGGGGAATTCAGGAACATTTCAGCAACCAGTCACTTGTTCCAAAAACACCTCCAGTGCCCGGGGAGCCGGGGGGCGAGGGGGCTGTTGGCAAAACGGTCTGTTGCGGCTTCTTAACCCTTTTCGAGGATTGTCCCCTCCACCTTGGGTCACCGTGGGCAGCTGTCCCCCGTTTCTCCTGCACTGGCGGGGGACGGGGGGTGGTGAGGGGGCTAGAGCGCCGAGTCGGCCCATCGCGCCCATGCTACCTCCTTGATTCAGCTCCCCAAAGCGCATTGTTTTGTAACTGGGAAAGTGCCGACATGAAAGGCTGAGGAGACAACCTTGGAAGTTCCCGGTAGTTAAAAAACAGTTCACAAGGTGCTCGTTAGAGCGTGGCACTTGGCGCTGCGTTTGCCTGCCGCCTGTTTCTATCCAAACAGGGGCAAAGACCGGCTTGGTGCATTAAATGTGAAATGATTGCTACAAGAATGTAACTGTTCGGCCGACAGTTCTCCCCGGGCTCTTTCCACTCGGCCCCAGTTCCTCAGCACTTTCCGTGTGCCCCTCACTGTGTCTCAGAGCTAGGGAGGCGGAAATCCCTGTCCTAGGAGGGGGGGGGGGGGGGGTGAATGTGTTTGGGGGGGCGGGGAGAGTAGAAGGTGCGCACAAAAGCGTCCTATATTCACACACACACACACACACACACAACTGAATTTTAACCCATTCAGCCGCCTGCGCTCTACATTGCATTGTAGTGACGACCTCCCAGCGCTGTTTTAGCATTTGTGTTCATGTTCATAGATTTTCACCAGATACAGGCCCCCGTCTCTTACCCGCAGCCATCCCCATGTGCTGCCCTGCACGGTGAACTGAAACATGTTAAAATGTCCTTGAATGATATTAACATCCACCTGCATAATACAACTCGCGGTTTCTGTTCAGATCATAGTTAGCCACAATTCTCAGCGTCAAACATGGACCACTTTAACCCTTCGCTGCCCAGTTACTTTAGGAGTGTCTGTTGTGCGGGAACCCGAGCTGCGAGGCGGCTTTCAGAGAAATCCCTCCGGCCACTGCACCAGTGCATGTATCCAGTCAGAACAGCAGAAGCTTAATTACTGCTCAGCAGAGACTGGTAGATTAAATAAATCAAGATTGATGGGGGCGGCAATAATGGAACCCACATTATCTAAATAAGTCGCTCTTTTACCCCACTGAGACAGAGTGATTGAATGATGTGAGCTGAGAAACTTAGATAGGATGAGCAAACCGCAGGCGAGAATACAGCCAGGGCAGTATAGCTGAAGTGATATTTCTGAACATAGAGTTTACTGCAATGATCTTCCTGTTATGTAGTCTCTCCATCACCGACAAAGAGACGCCGGAGTTAACTACGCGAAGCGAATGAGTTTGCCTTACACAGAGCAAGACGAGTTAGTTGTGCAGGGACAAATTCAGAGTCCTTATATTCCCCTGTCCCTGCTGCTGTTGGGAGTTGCTGAAGGACATTTTTGACACAATGTGGGAGCGAATTATTGCAGATGTTGGAAACTGTACTGAAAACAAAACAAAATGCTGAAGATTACAGTGGATCAGGCAGCATTCATGGAGAGAGAGCAAGCTAATGTTTCGTGTCTGGATAACTCTTCATTAGAGCTGACGTCGAAACGTTAGCTTGCTCTCTCTCTCTGTGGATGCTGCCTGACACGCTGTGATCTCCAGCATTTTTTGTTCTCAGGACATTTTTGATATGTTCCGTCAAGTTTTCTTGAAGTCTGCTGCTAGGTCTCAATAATTTCAGGGCCTTAGTTAATACGTTAACACGGAGGGCTAGGGTGAAAGCGGATTGTGGAAATCTGATTTCAAATGTAGACTCTACTCGAGATAATGCTGCAATCATGTACATAATTCAAATGTAAATATTCCTCAAAAGCATACAATGATTGATGTGAATGAGAAACGTAATATCATATGCAGCAGCAACAGATACATTTCCATCACAAGTATATCATGACTTTCTTTTGTTTTGGGTTAAGTTTGGACGCTAAGAAAGGTTATCCCTGAGACGATCCTCCTCACGGTATGATATTGGCCCACACACCCTTCGCTGCTTTATTGTGAAATTGTGAAGGGCTTCAGAAATGTGCAAACACTCAAATAACTTTACAAACTCGTCATCTCAGCAGGTTTCTAACCCAGCAGCCAAACAGTGTATTCCAGCATTCACAAGCACCACATTAAACAGACTACTCATTAGAATTACCTGGGAAAAACTTATTCCGTGGGATTGACTCCACCACTGAGATTCATATTAAACACAGCACTGCGCTATACACTGAGGCTTATGAATGGAGACCAGCAAATTCCTTATACTTATTAGATATGAACCTTATAAGAACGGCTCGCCATTACCAGTGGCCATTAAGCGGTGACATCTGTAACATCTGTAACACTGATCATTTGTCATTAGTTTCTGAAATTTCTAACTGCGCTGGATAAGTACCGACCCTCCCTGCTTAAATAATGTGGCACAGAGCATATAAACTTCATGTGACATGTGTGTAACAACAGCACATGGAACCCAGTGAAACCACAAGATACCAGCTGTAGAGATTCGATAGATATAGAAAACGAGTAGTAAGATTTCTTGAACTTGTGAGCGGATTAGCAATATCAATTTCGGCACAAATTGTTTATGTCTAATTCTTCGTCGAACTTTATTGATCTTGAAGAAAGAAATCTTGTTGGTGCCATGACGATGCTAAGTGTGGATGTGGGTGGGGTGGTGGAGGGGGGTTAGTGGTTGTGGTCACTGTTTAACAATCAGAGGCCATCTATTTAAAACAGAGGCTAGGCGATTATTTCTCTCTCCCAGAATCATTCTTCCTGAAAAGGTGGTAGAAGCAGAGTCTAGGAATATTTTAAAAGGAAGGGGTGGATAGGTTCTTGTAGAGTTAGGGATGGTGAAAGATTATGGGTTGCGGGTCTGAGTTTGCAATCGGCTGCTGGAGTTCTGGTGGTGTCGTGGTAGTGTCATTACCTCTGAGCCAGGAGGCCCAGGATCAAGTCTCACCTACTGTAATCATACATCTCAACTGGCTGATCTAAAAATATGGGCAGTCAGGGGGGCTGACTAATTCTTGCTGCACTAATATGTTCGATGGAGGATTCAGGCAGCGGATGTTGGAGATCGAGGCATAACGCATTTGTTAAATTGCTGCGACCATGTAAGATATCTGTCTTCGTTGATTAGAAGAGATGTAAGATTAGGCAGACATGGAATCTAGCTTTCTAACTATACTGTACACGCTATAAAGTGTTAATTGGTAAGACTTCTTCAAACCAGGAAGTAGGTAGAGTGGAAGCGATTTGTTGAAGATGTACCCAGCGTTGGAGAAAGACAAACAAAAACAGAGCGGCTCAGAATAGTTCTATTTTCAGGTTCTGTACTGAAAGACAAAGGGATATTAATGTTGTTCAGGTGCAGACTAAACTAACTCGGATTGTCACCTGTTCTTTCAATGTACAATCTGAATAAAGGCTGAATTTGCCAAGGAGTGTTGACGGCTCTTGTGGTGTAGTGGTAGAGTCCCTGTATCTGAGCCAGGAGGTCCGGGTTCAAGCAATGGCTTCTCTGAGTAGGTTGATTTTTGTTTTCTAAAAATAGTGACCAGTTTCTTTTTTTTGATGCGCCTTTATGAAGTTTAATGCTGCTGGAACTGGAATGTTGCACTGGGGAACTGCGCTGAGTGCGTTTGTGTGTGCTGGGTGTGTTTT